TGATGAGGAGAAGAGAAGCCCAATCGAGATGCAGCAAAAGGTGAGAGAGTGTGTGTCTGTACTTGACACGTCTGACTATTGACTGAAGAAGCAAAGCCACTCGAGAGACCCAGGAGTGAGCATCTGGGAGAGTTAGAGAGCGTTAGTCCCTTTAATTGGTCAGTAACAATAAATGGAGATGCAGAACATTTAGCATTATATGAATGAACTTTGAACCCTCCAAGGGCTGACTGGTACAAGGTCACTGTGCCGCTCTGTGCGCTTTAGGACTAGGACAGAGAGTCTACTATGTATCCCAAATACACAGGCTCCCGTTTGTATTTCATATCCACTGAAGTATACGTGCTGTAACACAGTCCTCTGAACCTTCTGCTCGCTCACGGTTCAGCTTGTTGACATGTTAACAACATTTGATATTTTATGATAGAAGCATGCTCGTGCTCTCTGGTAGCGTGTTAATGGTAAGAGCCAATGTACACTGTTCACACTGCCCAGAACATTTCCACCGCTGCTGCTGAAAAAAAGACACTGAATAAGTAAGATGTAGGACAATTTATAAACAATGTGATGTTTTCACATTTCTTCTATTGAATTAAAGCATTTCAGTAAAAAGAAATGAGATAGAATCCAACTTCTCTTTCTTGTAGGTGCAAACTTAAAGAAACGTCTTATCACTGTGATCACCAACAAGGATTTCTCCAACAAGTACAAAGCCATGTTTTGCTTGGAAATCAAATACTTTGCTTAAAGTTTAATTTATCATTTTTATGTAATGATTTTGATTCCTAGATCTTTGGTTGACACTCTGTAATTAAAATTGTAATTCCTAAAAACTTGTTAAAACCCTTGATTAAAAACTGAAGATTTGCATTTCATCACAAGTTGATGGCTTTATTTAAAATCCAGCGTGGTGCCACACAGAGCTAAAAAATACAAATGTGTAATTGTGCAGATACTTGTGGACCTGTATGCTTTTCAGTTTGCTAACAGATTCAGAACTGTACAAAATATTCTTAAAGTAACTCATATAGTTGGTGCATCATCGAATGCAACCCAGCCCCATAGCCCTTCCTCAAGTCTTTTCACCATTCAACATTTACTTTTTTCTTCACATGCAAAACCTACTTCGAGTCAGCATGTATTATGTAACTAGGGCACAGAAAATGTTTACACATCAAGAAAAACAGGTAACTGACAACAAACGCCCAAATCATCCTGTTCTTGGTTTGAAACAGATCTCAGAAAGATGACAGTCAGTCAGTCTCATCTTTCACACACTTCTTTAAGCTGGAAGGAGCTAATTAGTATTTATAGATCAAGTTTTTGCTGAAGACTTCAAATGTCAGAGACTGTGTGCATTGCAGAGCTCATTATTAATCCACTTCCTTCATAAATCACAGAGAGATTCATACAGAGAAATACATTTTTTTTTGTTCTGGGCAGCGACTCCTGAACATCTGTCATAGGATGATCTCCATTCTTCAGTGTTAGCTACTCTACCACGCTTTGATCACCTACTACAAATACAGCAGTTTATGTAAAAGAAAAGTTTCAACAATATATATAAATATAATTTTTAAAGAAGTAGACATGTTAACACAATCTCGCTGTCCTATTTAGAGTTATCTCTGAACTGTTTGTTGTACCGGTGTCTACACATGTACACAGACAAAAACCCACTCCCAACTAATAATAGCACAATACCATTATAACCAACAACGCACACACACACACACACAGATTTACACACACTCACACTGCATTGCTCATGAGGATGCTTCCTTTTAGCCACTTTAACCAGCTAATGTATTCAGAGAGCAGCCACAGGAGGAGCCCCACTTCAAATGCCTCAACACAAAGTAGCACACGCATCCACATTCACAAGCATATTTGTGTACTGACACTCGCACTCCCACATCTCTATCCACTCGCTGCTGAAGTTGATTACAGCAGGCTTTGACTCAGTGGGAGTGGGTCACGGTTGGATGACTTTTCAGATGTTGTGACTCTGAAAAGCCACAACAGGCGGTAAAGCACCACTAAAACTTACTGAAACACATTTCGAAATGAGAGATTTTTATCATTAATGTATCAAATTAGTAACTTTGTTAACTCAGAACTATAACTGAAAACACTAAATGGATACACTACAAAAACAAATTCTGCCTTTTGGTCAGTCTTATCAATTCAAACTGCTTTTAGTTTCACAACTGATCTGATTATATATCTGTGGTTCAACGCCACACAGTCTGTTTCAGTATAAATGTGTGTAATCAGACTAAGTTTAGAAAAAAAACACCAATTTGACTAAAGCCACATTATAATGCTGAAAAGGGTAAAGGGGCTAAATAACAGACTGGGGCAGTAGAATTTTAAATTTAATTTCAAATAAATTTTGTTTATTTGTTTAATTATAAAGCACCGAATCACAAGTCACCTCAAACTGCTTGATACTGCAAGGTCAAGTTTCTAAAGAACACAGAGAAAACCCCAACAGATGGACAACCCCTATCAGCAAGCACTTGGCGACAGTGGGAAGGAAAAACTCCCTTTTAACAGGAAAAATCCTCCAGCAGAAACAGGCTCAGTGAGGAACAGTTGGGGGTGAGCTCATAGGGTTTTCTGTCAGTGTAATTATCATATTCATTCATTGCTGTAAGTGAACAGCAATGAATGAAGTAGCCACAGCCACACGTATGCGTGTCTGCTATTCTGTCTGTGCCCCACAGGATGCGGTTGTTGAGACAGCAGTACATCAACTACATCAACTACAAGAAACCTTCATATAGAGATTCTGCACCACATACACTGCCACTAGTGTGACTGTTAATTAGCAATTAAACTGACACCTAAATGTTTAAGTGTCACATGTGGTCAGCTGGTCTGGGAAAAATAAGAAGTGCATTTCCAGTAGTAGATTTTCTTAACCATCACAAGCTGGCTAGACTGTGTGGAAATAGGTTCTACATCCCAACAACATTAAAATGCATTAAATTACAATGCACAATATATGAGTAACATATGAGAATAGTGCAGAGTGATACAGGAGGCAAGAAAATATCATTCTTATTAACCTTTACCTTTGTAACCAGAAATGAATTTTTAATAACTTATAGTTAAATATTTAAAAGGTCATTGCCCGGGTCACAAAAAACATATTCTGAAAAGAATGACATATAGTTAGTAAACATTTATACCTACAGGAGCTGCTAAGCCATGAAAGCCCATCCCATAAAGCTCCTGGTGCACAGATTTTGTGCTGCTGTTAATGCCAGAGGAGGTCTGGAACTCTGCAGCCATTAAGGCAGCAGAGCATATAATATTTTTAGAGGGGTATATTGAACGGATTCATCAGCTACATCGTGTTAGATATTTGTCATAGCAAACCGGAAGTTAAGAGACAAAGAAGGCTTTCATGAACCAGTAAACCACACTCACATGACAGATTAAGTCTATACATGGTTTACAGGCGTTTGTTTCCACCTATTTAGTCAGTTAATAAAGATCCAGTGGATGCTTGACAAAACACAGCAGTCAATAAATGAACTATTTGCATGCAAATTTACCTGCAACAGCCTAACAGCTGCAACTTCTGCCACAAACACCTTTTAAACCTTCAGCCTTTTAAAACCCCACGCACAGTCAAACCTGCATATCTAATGAGGGCTCACATGGCAACCATTATCACACACTGTTGGATACACTCCAGTAAACACGGGAAATTGTACGTACACAGGGCAGAAGGTCAGTGATGTACTTCAAAATGCTTTCAGCTTGCCCCTACTGAGCCTTATAATTATTTCAACAGTCAGCAGACTCCCTGCAGATGTTGGCCAGAAATCTATGAATTAAACTTATGTGACCAAAATACTCAAATGATCAGTTTTAACAGTTTTGACACTAAATCGCAGGTAACTGATGGTCAAGTTAAACATAGATGGAAGGGAAGTAAGGCGACACAGCGGGAATAATAATTTAAAGATTAATCAGCCAGGATAAACATATATTCTTTCAGGGATCTTGTGTGTATATATTTATTTATTCTCTATTGGGATTCCACTGTTCTCATGTTAGCTCAAAGCTTACCCAATATGCAAAACGTCCAGTAAATCCCTGGCACTCACCAATATAAGCTTGACTAAATATATTAAAGTTATACTCAGAATACATAATTAGCTTACAAACCATCAGGGTAGTGAAGCATATATAAACCCAGACATCCAGTTTGATGGTGTCTTATTTGACTTACAAATGGCAACGCGTGCTTCAGAGGCAGTGTATTCAGCAGTCTTGCACAAAAACACCATATGCACAGTTCTGGAGTCATAACGTCACTGTCTGCTCAAAAAGCTTGCAGTGTGCTCTTTGTCTTCAGCCCACCATACCAGATTAAAGCACACCAAGTTACCACATAATCCCACCTACAAAAGCAAGCGGTGTGCACAGAGCACCTCTGAAACCTACAGCAGCAGAAATTTTGTTTCTAAATATAGCTTATATGCAGGATAAGCAGCTGTAAGAATCTCACTGTAATGATCGCAATGTGTGTATGTTTCTCCTCCAAGACACGTAGATCAATCTAGGGTACTGGGATTATCAACATCTACATATAACAATGCAACTATTATTTTTATAACACACATCTACGAATTATATGTTATGTGTAGTAGCTGATCTCAAATGAATGTGGCTTGTTTGTTCACATTATGTGTGCATTACGTGCACACTTACATACATTTTCGTTAAACTAAACTGGAATGTGTTGTCGTGCATATCAGTAAATAAGAGTAAATACGCTTTTTTTGCCATCTCATATATACAGAAATATAATGACGATTTTAAAAAGGCAATGTGATAAATGAAAGTACAAAGTCTGTGTTTATATATGTGAGCAACACCCACAGGCTAGTATTATGAGGACTACGAGCACATCTTGGATGCTGCAGATAATTAACAAGTGTGCCGAATTTATACCAGATGACCTGAACGACATGTCTCACCTTGTCTCTCAGATGATGTTCTGCTGCATCAATGTTCAGCGGGTCATCAAAGTTCAAAAGGTCCTGTGGAAGAGGCAAAGGAGGGGGTCATCATCGTTCGATGGATCAAACCACACACATCTTCAAAACTGGCATTTATTTCAGTGTCAGCTACATGTGTTAATTCTGTAAACTTTGGTGTGGGAAATACAACCCACATTCACATTAATTCCCTTCTGTACTGACAC